GGGGTTGTGCTCTTCAGAAATTGGGATGCACACATCACAGCGGGTATGTTGTTCTGGGGAGTGTGCCACAGTCACCTGACAGTTATGGGTCCGCCTCCCCCTCCACCCCCTTCTCCTTTGTTGCGTACCAGTGCGTCGTCCAATTGTAACGTCTCCAATCGCAGCTTGCGTTGCTAAAGCCAGTGTGGGCCTACGGCGTTGGTCAGATCTCGTCGGACCTGGCTGTCTTCGAAGGGTTCCTCCCGGCAGAGCCTCCCGGGTGGAACTGTAATATGTCTTTCAGTCCTGGGGGAGGAGCTTCCAAGGTGACTGGTTCCTCAGGGGCCGGCCTCTGCGGTCCCAACCCAAGGTTTCTGTCCTCTTTATCCAGCTCATCCTGCTCCGGGGGACGCGGGGGGCCGTCGGAAGCGTCCCGGGGTTTCTCTTCCAGGCGGAGTTCGGGTGTCGGACCCTCCGATAGAAGGGGGGGCTCCGTGAACTCAGAGAACCCCACTTTGTTCAGAATGTTCCTGGATATTACTGGGGAATATTACAAAAATAAATGACAATGGCCATAAAGAACACTTTTTGAAGCTGCTTGAACACCCCACCCCCCACAGTGAAAGACAGGATCTGGTAAGAAGTTTCCCTCACAGCCTGATGTGAAATTCAGCTGGTGTGCAGGGGATCATTGCATAGAAAGGAGATTACCAAAGTGTACCTACCTCCGGTGGGTGTGTAGGTGGCCCTGTCGCTGGCCCCGGAGCGTAGCGGGTGGTAGTTGGGGTAGATCAGCAGAGCCATAGTAGCTTTGTTGGACGTCTGCTTGATGAGGGTCTGCAGTTTGCGGAGCTGGGTAATCAGAGATCTGCAACGGAAGGTTAAAGGGTTGTCATGCTGATCCTCAGCTTCCTATTAATGCACGCACAGAGGCCATTGCAGCCCCTCCAAACACCAAACAGGCATCCCGTCTTCCCTCCACACATGTCAGCCATCATACCCATCCTGCAGGGCTCACACAAGGCCGCGGCTCTACTCACATATTGTGCTTCTCCAATTCCAGAACCTTCTTGTGCAGTTCTTGATTCTGCGCGGAACACGCGGCCACCCTGCAATGTACAAGGCGCCAATTATTCCCCCCTCTGCCGCCATGACACCGCCACCCAACCACCCCCCGTCTGCACCTCACCCACCGGCTCTCCAGACCGTCAATATATTCCTTCTTGCGTCTACGGCTGTCCTGCGCCGACTGCTTGTTCCTGATCTTCCTCCGCACCTTCTTCAGGATCCGCTCCTCGGCCTGTGGGGGTGGAGGAAACAAGTCATGTCAGAGGTTCTCCTCTGCCTATGTGACAGGTGACTGTTCAGATGATGAGCAGCACAAAAAAAAATATACCTCATATTAAAAAAAAAACACGTTTCAGGGGTCAGATACCCTTAATCAGGGCCACAAATCATGAGTGTGGGTAGGCATTAGGGAGGGGGGTAGGGGGGGGGCCTTCATCAGAGCTGCATGTTATGAAAGAATAGATACCATGTGTCAGTATTTACATCAGAGGATTTAACATAAAGGGCATCCTTTTCTAGAAGGTGGAGACCGCCGGCACACAGACAATGTGTATCGGTATTGTAAGAGACAGGTAAAAGTGATAAATATTGGTTCTAAAACAATAGTACATTGGAGATACTATCTATGTAATATTATTAACCCACATGGGGAGCTGCTCCTTCAGACAGTATCAGGATTATCCGGCCGGTTGAAACTCTTTCCTCAACACTACCTTAGCATAACCTGTCTGTATATCAGCCTCCTGCACTGGGAGATGGTATGGGGAGGACAGGAGGAGAAAGCAGAGTGCTGTTCCTTCACTGTCCAGTCAGTAGGCGGGGCGGAGTGGGCGTGTCCTGGACCAAGCTGTGCTTCCACTTTCGAATTTGGGCAACACTAGGTCACAGGAGCATTTCTGTGAAGCCGTATTTAGACCTCATGTGGTGCGGTGAGGACGTGGTACCTTGGTCAGTGGCAGGTTGTTCGGCAGGGCCACCCCTTCCTGTGACAGCAGCCTCTTCTCCTCGTCGGTCAGGTGAAGCTCCGGGTACTGTGGGGGGAGGGGGAAATGAAGAATGATATAGGGACCACGAGGGGGGACTCGCGGGACAGACACAGTGCGGCCACTTACTAGGGAATCCATGGAGAGCAAGTCTGGCGAGGACCCCCGCATCGGCAGCGGCCTGCAGAGTCCTGCGTGCAGGGGCGCCAGCTCGTTCACGATGCAGCTCTCCGGAATCAGCACGGGAGATGACCAATCCTCTGCTGGCACAGAAACGCGTCATTACTCAATCTCATTGGCTTCTTATATATACCAGGAGACCCCCAAAAGCAGGGGGAGGGGGTTCCTGAGTTCCCCCACCATCCAACTATACAATAGCCAATCAGAGAACCATGCTTATAGTCAAAGAGTCCACAGTGATGTTTTCAAATAGTCAATAGAAAGAAATGCAACACGTTTCGGAGGGTTTAGGCCACTCCCTGAAACGCGTCAGGTTCTTTTCCATTGACTCCTTAATAAGAAATCACTTTGGACACTTGTAACCATTACGTTGGCGCTCTGACTGCTTCCTGTATAAGTGACCTTACCCCGAGGGGCCCCGTTTGGATTAAAGTAGCTTGGTCTGATCCCCCACCCCCCCCACCTCTTTCAGATCTTGGTGTTCCCAGCTCCTCCTCCCCGTCGCTGGTTTTTTTAATGGGCTCTGGTATCTCATTTTAGGGATAAAGGATTCAGCAGGAGAACTAAGACTCTATGACAGGAGAAGGGGGCGAGAGGTCTCACTAGCTGGTCTGGTCTCCGGCCCCTCCTGTAGGCAGCCTGTAGTGGGTGGGGTCTGCTGGGCCCCTCCCACAGCTCTGCACAGGCTACGTACAGAACATTGATGATGTCACTGCTGTTCTCACAAGGTAATATCTGGGTTTGTAAAGGCATTTGGTGCTCACTAGGTGGATCTATATCCTTTGAACAGTATATTTGTGCTCGGTGTTCGGCTTTAAATAAAGTTGTCCTTATATTAGGGGGTGACTACAACCCAGGGGATGGGGTCAGGGTGCAAATGTGCCCAGGCCCAGGGGACAAATGGCCCTACAGTGTATCTAAGTGGCGTTGGGATGGGCAAGGAAGCCCCATTTGGTGTTTCCCCTTCACTTCCTGTACCAGTGACACAACAGGAACTTGAAGGAAACCCCCACCAGAACAAGTGTTCCCACTGGAAGATTTCCTCTCTATTTCTGTCCTGGTGACAACTGCACATTTTTTTTTAGAGGGCGAACCTCCCGAGCGGGGACACGACCCAAAACAAAAACCAGGCTCCCATTGGTGGATCTCGGGTTACCCAGCTGGATGGATATGACACTGCTCATCTCGCCGGCCACTTTGCGCTCCTCCATGGCGCCGATGTCATACACCAGCTCGTACACCGGGGCGGGCAGGGCCAGGGGCGCCCCCTTCTCGCAGCTCCTGGGGGTTTCCGGCCGGGGGTCATCGGAGAATCCGCTGTCGCTCTCCGGCGATTCGCTGGCGGCCGCCTCGGTGCTGTAGACGTCGTTGGGGTTGATAATCATCTGCAGGTAGTCGTCGGTGTCCTCCCGCTCGTTCAGGCCCTGCAAAGGCAATGAGAGCGCGGCGGTTATTTCCGGCGCCATAAGGCAAGAGCCGGACGCATTTTTAAATCGGATAAAACAGGAAGTCAGCGCCAAACATGAAATAAAATCAGTGCAGTTGAAAAAAAGTCACTTCCTGTCCAGAAACAGGAAGTTATCGCCAAATATGAAATAAAATCAGTGCAGTTGGAAACAAAAGTCACTTCCTGTCCAGGCGGCGGAGAAGCGGCGCCCATTACGTTGTCGTTCGTATGAAGGAATCCTGGTTTCAGAGCCGGCTGCTAGGATCTAACCCGTCCTTTGCGGGTCAGCACCCGGATCTGTGTCACATGTACACGCTCTCGTCTGGTGTGTTTGCCTTGGCAGCCGTGAGCGACTGATAGCGCCGCCGCTTGTGTACGCCAAACGCTAATGAGCTTCATAAAAACCGATAGCAATCAGCGGCGGCAAATAACCTTCCGGAACCAACTCTACAAACGCTTCAGTCATCGTTAATAAGCCGCAGCGGGCGGGCGTTAATGGCGTACAGGAAGGGAACGTTAACGCAAAAACCACAAAAAAACGTTAACGCAAAAAAAAAGTGGACCGGTCGCACTGTCTGCATTACCAAATCGCATTGTAAAAAAAAAAACCTCTCCGCACATTTGAAGAAAAAAAAAATGCTGCTCCTGAGCGCCGTCATGTGACCTACAGCCTACGCACAGATCACATGACTGTCAGGAGCCTTGTTGGTGTTTCACATTGTCAGGGACTGCGGTTAGACTTTACCGTCCTGGCGCTGAGCTGCCATTCTTCATAGAGTTTGTCGGCCGGAAATCCGTGACCTTCGGACAGAGGGAAGGTGATGGGGTCCGCCCCTGGAAACCCCTGCGGGTGGAATAGATCGTCCTGAGCGTCAAATAGAGGTCCCAGCAGCAGTTCGGGTCTGGAAGAGTCCATGTTCACTCTGTGGGGGGAGAGGGGGGGTCGTGGTGAGTGATCAGCTCTGCAGGGAACATATATGAGCGGTCAATAAATACCTGGCGGCAGAGTCAGCCATTTACTACCAAGATCATAAACCTGTCAGGTACCAGTAACCCTTCCAGGGATGTATTACCTCTCACAGAGATCACATGACTCCCCCCTGACAATGCCGCCATCTGCTTTCCTCTCCAGAAGGACGGTGCCATCTTTGTCCCCCCCAAAATATTACCTATACCTAACCCCTCTCCTCACACTTCACCTCATCCCTCCCTTTTGTAACAGTCAGTTTCCTTCCTCCACCATCTGCTGGATGATACTCAGTACTGCAGTGTTGTTACATTGCATCTGTACACCTGACCTCAATCAGAGGTGGTTAAATAGAGTCCAGGACATTCAGTCAGTGTCTGATCATAGGTTCACCTTGCTACAAAGTTACAATGTACAGGCTGACCACTGGGGGAGGGGAGACTGAGGAAATGCACCTATCCTACTGACCTCCAATGTAAAGGAGGCACCTATCCTACTGACCACCAATGTAAGGGGGTACCTCTCCTACTGACCTCCAATGTAAAGGGGTCACCTATCCTACTGTCCTCCAATGTAAAGGAGGCACCTATCCTACTGACCACCAATGTAAGGGGGTACCTCTCCTACTGACCTCCAATGTAAAGGGGTCACCTATCCTACTGTCCTCCAATGTAAAGGAGGCACCTATCCTACTGACCACCAATGTAAGGGGGTACCTCTCCTACTGACCTCCAATGTAAAGGGGTCACCTATCCTACTGTCCTCCAATGTAAAGGAGGCACCTATCCTACTGACCACCAATGTAAGGGGGTACCTCTCCTACTGACCTCCAATGTAAAGGGGTCACCTATCCTACTGTCCTCCAATGTAAAGGAGGCACCTATCCTACTGACCACCAATGTAAGGGGGTACCTCTCCTACTGACCTCCAATGTAAAGGGGTCACCTATCCTACTGTCCTCCAATGTAAAGGAGGCACCTATCCTACTGACCACCAATGTAAGGGGGTACCTCTCCTACTGACCTCCAATGTAAAGGGGTCACCTATCCTACTGTCCTCCAATGTAAAGGAGGCACCTATCCTACTGACCACCAATGTAAGGGGGTACCTCTCCTACTGACCTCCAATGTAAAGGGGTCACCTATCCTACTGTCCTCCAATGTAAAGGAGGCACCTATCCTACTGACCACCAATGTAAGGGGGTACCTCTCCTACTGACCTCCAATGTAAAGGGGTCACCTATCCTACTGTCCTCCAATGTAAAGGAGGCACCTATCCTACTGACCACCAATGTAAGGGGGTACCTCTCCTACTGACCTCCAATGTAAAGGGGTCACCTATCCTACTGTCCTCCAATGTAAAGGAGGCACCTATCCTACTGACCACCAATGTAAGGGGGTACCTCTCCTACTGACCTCCAATGTAAAGGGGTCACCTATCCTACTGTCCTCCAATGTAAAGGAGGCACCTATCCTACTGACCACCAATGTAAGGGGGTACCTCTCCTACTGACCTCCAATGTAAAGGGGTCACCTATCCTACTGTCCTCCAATGTAAAGGAGGCACCTATCCTACTGACCACCAATGTAAGGGGGTACCTCTCCTACTGACCTCCAATGTAAAGGGGTCACCTATCCTACTGTCCTCCAATGTAAAGGAGGCACCTATCCTACTGACCACCAATGTAAGGGGGTACCTCTCCTACTGACCTCCAATGTAAAGGGGTCACCTATCCTACTGTCCTCCAATGTAAAGGAGGCACCTATCCTACTGACCACCAATGTAAGGGGGTACCTCTCCTACTGACCTCCAATGTAAAGGGGTCACCTATCCTACTGTCCTCCAATGTAAAGGAGGCACCTATCCTACTGACCACCAATGTAAGGGGGTACCTCTCCTACTGACCTCCAATGTAAAGGGGTCACCTATCCTACTGTCCTCCAATGTAAAGGAGGCACCTATCCTACTGACCACCAATGTAAGGGGGTACCTCTCCTACTGACCTCCAATGTAAAGGGGTCACCTATCCTACTGTCCTCCAATGTAAAGGAGGCACCTATCCTACTGACCACCAATGTAAGGGGGTACCTCTCCTACTGACCTCCAATGTAAAGGGGTCACCTATCCTACTGTCCTCCAATGTAAAGGAGGCACCTATCCTACTGACCACCAATGTAAGGGGGTACCTCTCCTACTGACCTCCAATGTAAAGGGGTCACCTATCCTACTGTCCTCCAATGTAAAGGAGGCACCTATCCTACTGACCACCAATGTAAGGGGGTACCTCTCCTACTGACCTCCAATGTAAAGGGGGCATCTATCCCTCTGACCTCCAATGTAAAGGGGGCACCTATTCTACTGACCACCAATGTAAAGGGGGCACCTATCCTACTGACCTCCAATGAAAAGGGAGCACCTATCCTACTGACCTCCAATGTAAAGGGGGCACCTATCCTACTGACCACAAATGTAAAGGGGGCACCTATCCTACTGACCACCAATGTAAAGGGGGCACCTATCCTACTGACCACCAATGTAAAGGGGGCACCTATCCTACTGACCTCCAATGTAAAGGGGTCACCTATCCTACTGACCACCAATGTAAAGGGGTCACCTATCCTACTGACCACAAATGTAAAGGGGGCACCTATCCTACTGACCACCAATGTAAAGGGGTCACCTATCCTACTGACCACAAATGTAAAGGGGGCACCTATCCTACTGACCTCCAATGTAAGGGGGCACCTATCCTACTGACCACCAATGTAAAGGGGGCACCTATCCTACTGACCACAAATGTAAAGGGGGCACCTATCCTACTGACCACCAATGTAAAGGGGCACCTATCCTACTGACCACCAATGTAAAGGGGGCACCTATCCTACTGACCACCAATGTAAAGGGGGCACCTATCCTACTGACCACCAATGTAAAGGGGGCACCTATCCTACTGACCTCCAATGTAAAGGGGGCACCTATCCCACTGAACTCCAATGTAAAGGGGGCACCCATCCTACTGACCTCCAATGTAAAGGGGGCATCTATCCCTCTGACCTCCAATGTAAAGGGGGCACCCATCCTCCATGATACTCAGGTTGAGAAGTGCTGATCTGAGGAAGCACTCTCATGTGAAGTGTATTTCCCGCGTCCTACAAGCTTCTAGGATTATAAAATCGCCTCGTAGAACTGCCCCTCCCCGGCTGCCTAGTGCCCCCCCAATCCTCTCTGCTTTGCCCCCTCCAGGGTGGACAGGTTGCTGTTTTTGCCCCAGTCCTGTGACCCCAGCAGCTCATGTACAGACCTTATCTCAGCGCATGGATCCAGAGGAGCATTCCTGGCACTCTTCTCCCAGTTCTCCTCGGCGGAGAGGAGCTGGATTCCCTCGGACAGGCTTGGGCTGCGCTGGGGATCAGAGCGCAGGGTTCCAGGATCTGGACATCCTGGAGGAGGCAGCCAGGGACCTCCCCCCCGTCCTCTTTGGGGCTCGGAGCTGTTGTTTGGCAGGTTTGGTAGGTGTGCACCTTCCCCGCTCGCACCTGTCACACAGGTTGGCCCTGAGCTGTTAGTGGAGACCGAGATTAGAAAGGTGTGTCCCTGCGGGAGGGGGACAGGTGACACCGTGCAGGAAACAAGGCATTTGGGAAGATACTTAAAGAGCCAGATGCTGTTTAATGCTGTGGATAGTAGAGAAGACTGGAAGTGGTGTAGTCACTGATATATTTCAGGGCTGAGGGGACAGCAAAGATTCCTGCACATAGAGGAGCCACGCTGATCATTTTACCATATGCGTCCTCTCTTATTAGCCCTGAGAAAGGGGGTTCTGAGCCCCCGAAACGTGGCGGCTTTCTATAGTACATCTGATTCAGTTTGGATCCTGGGCTCTAGAAGCAGAGCAGGAACCGTCCATACTTCCACGCTTTGCTTCCATCACTTCCTGTCCTGTGTACACAGCAGGAAGAACTCTCCCCTTGGCAAGGCAAAACCTGCTTTCAGTTGTCACCGGAACAGGTGTCCCCATTGGAAGGATTCTAATCTACGTTATTGCCGGTAGCAACGCAGAATGTTGGATTTGTCCCTGGGGGTTAAATCTGACCTCTGACCTTCCCTTCAGCCTTTCACACCCACCCGTCAAGGCAGTTTCATATTTGCATAACTCCTCCCACTACTTGCATCAGGACCGGGGGCTCTGGAGAGCTGTGGACCACACTAGCTCAGCAATAGGGCCACGGGTCAGAACGGGACCAGGTGCTCCATGCTCTGGGTCCCCTGGGGGGGTATTTAATAAGAATTTTCAACATGTGATCCTTCTTCCTGTACCAAAGACACAGCAGGAAGTTAGATTAAATCTCCTCTTAGTTGTCACCGAAAACAAGTGTCCCCCCCCCATTGGAGGATGTCCCCTCTACTCCGGTGACAACGGGAACATGTCCAAACCACAATGGCCACCGGGACAGACAAAGTGGGCGGATCAGCTCAGCTGACCTGTAGTGCCCCGGATGAGTGCAGCACCGGGGATGTGTGCTCAGTGCATGTCGGTGACCATGTACCTGCAAGAGCACCGGGGATGTGTGCTCAGTGCATATAGGTGAGCATGTACCTGCAAGAGCACCGGGGATGTGTGCTCAGTGCATGTCGGTGAGCATGTACCTGCTAGAGCACCGGGGATGGGTGCTCAGTGCATGTCGGTGAGCATGTACCTGCTAGAGCACCGGGGATGGGTGCTCAGTGCATGTCGGTGAGCATGTACCTGCTAGAGCACCGGGGATGGGTGCTCAGTGCATGTCGGTGAGCATGTACCTGCTAGAGCACCGGGGATGGGTGCTCAGTGCATGTCGGTGAGCATGTACCTGCTAGAGCACCGGGGATGGGTGCTCAGTGCATGTCGGTGAGCATGTACCTGCTAGAGCACCGGGGATGGGTGCTCAGTGCATGTCGGTGAGCATGTACCTGCTAGAGCACCGGGGATGGGT